CTGAATAGTACTTTTTATATTTTGAATTGAGCTTTATAATAAATTGTAAATATACATAGATAAACTAATAATAAATAATAAGTAATTTGATAAAAATTTTTAAAAGTTGCATATAAGTAAATCTATATAAAACACATACATCTTTTTAATGAATAATGAAATTGTTCACTAAAGTTGTGCCAATACAAAACAAATAGCAATCTAGTTGTTAGTAAACAAGTTTTTTTTTTGGCAAAGGTTTTTTTTTTTTTGGTGGTACATTAGCTTATTATTTGGCTCAATCTGCCATCTATGTCATGAATATGAATATGTAAACAGTGATTATATCATTTAATGTAGCATTCTGAAATTAAAACATATTTTTATTCTCGAAGGCCTATTAAGGGAATATAATTTATAAAACAATCAAAATGTGAAAAAATATTATTTTCTAGTTGTCATTATCTTTATTATAAAAAATGGGAGAGAGGGTGAATTCTCACACTCATGTAAATTGAAAAAACTTATTTTATACAGCTTAAAATTCAATATACAGTAATAACACAAATGATATGGAATTTGGAATATTATTCAGGTGGGAGTAGATATTCTTTTCTGTAAATTAATCTCGTTTATAAATCAATATACAATAAAAAAATTAAAAACAATTCGTTTAATAATTTTATTATTATTATTATTATTAATATTGTATTTAGTTAGTTACTCAATCATCAATATAGGCAAAACTTATTACGCTATATGAATGAAAATTTATTAAGCTCTAACAGATTATCATAGGAATTTTAGAATTAATTAGTATTAAATATAGTTATGTTAAGAAATTAAACTACATTATAGAATATTTTTAATATAAAAAATATACTGGAAAACTTACTTTTGGGATTCGTAGAATATCGTATATGCGTCTTCGTTGCTCTTCATCGTTGATGATTCCGCTGATAAATAAATATGTTTTTTTTTTAACTTTATCTAAAATATATTTCTTCTCAGTACAAGATCCTAGACTAATCTAAAAAATAATTTAATTTATCTAAATTAAATTTATAGTGTTAATCTCTGTTTACCCTTGCTTTTCCTAATGTGTCAATTCCTCATACTTTTTCATCAGTTTGCGGCCATGTTGGTTTTTCTTACGTTATCAAAAAAATAACATGCGCTGTAGTGCAATATTACAGATATACATGGGCAATAATGCAATGTTTCCTATGAGCATGCGCGTTAGGAAGAAAAAAAAATTTCGCATGATAAAAAAAACCGTCATGCAAAAACTCTCTATTAGTATCCTCTAATTGCATCCAAACAAGACATATTAGTAATTGGTAATAATGAATCGAAACGCCTATTATAAATCAGTTGCAGGCACCTTTTATATTTAGAACATGTTATTTTGAGGCATCATATATGAAGACTTCGTGAAAGTTATCTTCATGCAAAAACTATTTCGGTAAATGTGGTAAAAAAAAAAAAAAAAAAAAAAAAAAAAAGAGGAAAATTTAGATTTTTATTAATAATCTTCTAAAATGAAGAAATATTATGTAATTAAAGAAAAAAAATAAGTTAAAATTTTACACATTTTGATGAAATAATTGCAGCGTTCGTGAAAATGTATTCACATATGTAATACGAAATAATCCAGGCTTGCCATTAAAATAGATAGAAAAATATTTGAATGCAATTTTGAGACAGTTGATGATATAATTTTATGGTAAATTTTGTTGACAAATTTATCGATAAAAGGAATAATTACAGCTGAGATTTTTCTAGTACAACTGCAGGCATTTATTCTCGAATTCGATGAAAAATCATTGCTAATTATTCAAAGATAATCCATCATAGAATTAACTGTTTTTGAATTTTTACCCTTTTTACATGTCTGCTTCATTTTTAAGTGTCTTACAATAATTATAAAATTTGTGTTTTACTGATTTGTTGAAATTTATTTTCTCGAATAAGAAATTCTTAAATACAGACGTTGCGTTCAACTTACTGCTTATTATTCATTCATTTCAAAATAAAAACGAATTCTACATTATAAAAAGTTTGTCTTATTTATTTTTTTATTTTTTGTTCTAGGTTAATTTAATGGAGAATCTAGAGAGAAAGTATTTGCCGGCAATATGAACACATTTTGTCAACTCTTGAAAAATTGTATTTCTCCAAAAACCACATTCCTAAAAAACACATTCTTCTAAAAACATACAAAAATTACATTGCTCACTAAATTTTAATGAAGGTAAGAATATTCTTGAAATTTACTTTAAGTAAGATGCAGAAAAAAAATTTTAAATTATTGAAATTAGAAAGTTTAATTTAATGAGTAATATTTTCCTTATTTTATATAATTTTGATTGTACTAATAAATAATAATAATTATACTAAAAATATACTAGTTCATTCAAAATTAATTTTGATTGTACTGTTGCATGTTATGACTGATTTCATGTGATCCATCAGACGAAATCAATGCTCATGGTAAAGAAGAACAATTTGCAGATACACTTCTTTTAAGCATCAGCATAAAAGCTCAATTCAATAATGAGACGTCCTCTTGTAAAAATTGGTAGTTACGATTATAAACCTTCAAAAGGCGCATTTTATTTTTGAAAAAGACTGTTTGTTTAATGTCACATTTTGTATTAATAATTAACAACGCCTCCCCTTCTATTTATGAACAAACAACAGCCAGTGTTAAGTACTGATTAGAAATTTAGCATTTGTCATAAATAATTTCCCATTTCGATATTTTCATCAAAAAAATAAGTTGGTGTTAAAACTATATCGCATAATTCGGGCAAAGAAATTTTTTTTTTTACTTTCCTGGAAATACTTCTAAAGTAGCAGAATGTTATGTTAATCCCGACAAAAAAAAGAATTAAAATTTTACACATTTTGATAATATGTTTACAAGGAGAGTCGGAAAAAAATTCAATTACATAAAAGGAAGTATGACTTGATTTTGTGCGGTAATGCATGCAACGTAAATTTTACTAACAATTTTCATATAGGATATGGTTTTTAATGATAGTTGAAATTTTTAGTATCATAGATCACATCAATTTTTCAGTTTTAAATTAAGGAAATATCATTTTAGATTAATTTTATAAAAATTTGTGTGCGTAAGAAAATCTATTTTACAATCCTTAACTTTAAATATTTAAATTACTAAGTAGAAATATGAGAAAATTTGTTCTTACTCTGATTTAAAATTCATCAAAAGTCCTGAATGTCAATTTTTATAACTTAATTTGGTTCCCTATCAATTTTTTTTTCTTTATTTTCTGCAAGTTTGTGCAGAAAAAGGTTGTTAAAAAGTTTAAAAAAATAAATAATTTTAATTTAAGGAATTTATTATTTCGTATTAAATTATTTTTTGATATATTTGGGGGGAGTTATTTATTATCACTGAAGTAAAAAAAAAAAAAAATCTTTAATATCTTATTTTTTTCTTTTATAGATTAATTTAATTAAATAAAAGTGTCTACTAGTACAGAATGGGAAGTTCGAATAATTTACAAAGCAAAAATAAAGTATCAATCGCATAATCAGTATTTCTATTTTAATTAAAGATGTGTTACGATCACGATGTTTCAAAATCCATTAAAAGGTCTGCAATCTAGTTGTTGGAAAGGAAAAAAGACGGACATCACTCGGATATTTCAGATGATCTGGCGAAGTTGTGCTACTAGAAGAATACATCTATGATTTCACACAACTAGGTGAAGTTGTACTCTTCAAGACGACATTGGAAGCAATCACATCCCGCCACATCTTAAAAAAAGTTCACAAGTTTCAGGTATTGTTTTCTGTATAGAATTTATGGTTTGATTTATAGTCTGAATGTATGTTATCTGAATGTACAAGTATTAGTGACATGAAACATAACACTGAGTAACCCACAGTGTGTAAAGCCAACAAATTGAAATTATGATTAAGATGGCATAGGTTTTTAAAAATATAACGATTCCTTTCAGTACAGCTTAAAAAAACCTTAAAAATAATCACATTTTTTTTTAAAATTTTATTCTTGTGTTGTACACTGCAGTTTTTGTTCACAAAAATAATTAATCATTTTAAACTCTTTAAATCTCTTAAAATGACAAATTATGATGTTAAAATAAGTACTGCTTACTTACGTTAAGAACTACTGACTATTTAAAATGATTGTTTTTATTTTTAAATACCTTTTTGAAAGCTCATTTTTATATACATCTATTGTAATATAATGCATAATTGTCAAAGTATTTCATGTCATTCACATGAATATTCTATGATCATTTCACATATTTATTTTCAAAAAGTTTTACATAGCAGCTAATATGTGACCATCCAATTGAACGTCAACTTAAATGGAATACTAAGAGAAAGATTCTCATTTTATTTCTATCTTTTAGTTATCTTTATTTTATTATAGGGTGGCTAACCCGTGGCCCGCCATGAATATTTTTAGGCCGTTTTATGACACTTTTACAAAATATATTTATTTTAAATGGCCAAAGTAGTGAAAACCAATGTATTAAAAATTACAGTATATGTGCATCCATATATTAAAAAATTAACTGTCGAAATTATGAGAAAAAAATTAACTTTAATTTTAAAATAATATTCTTGCCAGATATTGCTTTTATTTTATTTATGAGTTCCCATAATAATTAAGTTATATTCTGCGAACTCGTGAGCGTGCATTTTGGAACACCTAATATAACAGGTAATATGAATATGTTGTTGTTGTTTCTTATCCCACTTGGCTAGCCAAGCCCACGAGCCCATACTCATGATTGAAGGGGAAGGAAGCAGCTTCTGTTGTGATGGAGCACCCGTAGGTAGAAGCCTGATTTTTGCTCCGTGACGCTCTTACAGTCATAGGAGACCGGGACCTACGGCTCAAAGTGGATTCCTGAACCACTACAAACATCCATGGCACCGCCGGGATTCGAACCCGAAATCTGTGGCACCGAGCGCCAGAGCGCTAGACACTCGGCCATTCAGGTCCCAAATTTGCCAACGGCACGCGGTGTTCCCAGGTGGTCACCCACCCAAGTACTGACCGCGCCCAATGAACCTTGACTTCGGTGATCTAACGAGAACCGGTATATTCAGCATGGTATGGCTGTTGGCTAATATGAATATAATATGAATATAAAAATGTCTATAGTGGGTCTAGATCTAATCTGAAGATATATAATTTTATATACGGCCCGTGGTGTTAGGATGCATTTCCAAAATGGCCCGCAAGATGATTTGGGTTACACCCATGTTTTATTATTTTGTTTTAATTTAAGTTTTTTAACCATCGTTGTTTTGTCTTAATAGCGTTCATGGAAAATCTGTTGTCGGTATTAACAGAAAAAAACAGTAAACCAAAAAAAAAAAAATCTATTTAAACATACAACTTCAAAATTTCTTACGACTATTTACAAATATAATGTGATAGTGGAAATTATAATTGTTAATCTTGAAGTTTCAGTATATTCTTCGAAATGAAGCAAGATCCATTTATTTATTAAATTTTTCAAAAACTTGGAAATCAAATCAGAAAAATAAGCTAAAACAATTTACAAAATTCTAAAAATAAATGAATAACTAGAACAAAATTTTAACAAAAATATAAATGAAAAATGTGAAAATGAGAATATAAAAACATTGACAAGAGAATATTTTTTCTGACTCTCTCTGATATTTAAAATCTGTTCCGTTTATGAAGTCAATGAGATACTTAACCTTCAATCATTCTTCATTGCTGTAATGCAAATGTATTCCTTGACTTGTTTTCTGCATTTACAAACCGCTAATTCTTCAAGCTACAGAACGATGAATATGACATTAATACATCTGCATTTGTCAAAGGTTTCAACATATCTGGATTTCTGATAGTCTTCTCATGTTAATCGACCATCAAATCTTCGTGCATTTTGTAGTTAGCAATTTCTATTTTGCAGGGAAACCCAAATTTTTATTGGTTATCTTTCGTATCAAGATGCTCTCACCGTTCAGAAGTGGTCTCCCGACGAACGCAGTATTATGAGCGCATATGGCACAGTTCCAATACCTCCGCCACCTCGGTGGTTGTCTGAGGTGCCTCGACGGTACTGCAAGTAGGCTAAGGATGATCCGGATCCATGCACTTGGTGGCTGAAGGTGAAGGCCTTGTTCAAAGATAAACAATTAAAATAAGGGGTTCTTTCACGGTGCAAAACAAGTGGAAAACATGTAAGATGTTTTAAGACTTTAAGCAAGAAATAGGAATTGTGGTCAGCTTCAAGAAGACATTGAAGAATCACGAAAAAAAAAAAAAAAGTACTTAAATGATGTTAACAGAGAGACTGAATTGCCGATGCCATTGATCAACGCAATAATTAAACGCTAGAACGTAAGAGAGAAAATGAATTAAGAAATTGCTCTTTTTTAATACACATGAAGATATGTTGTAAAGCATAATGGAAAAAAAAAAAAAAAAAAAAATGAAGCATATTGTTTTCTAGCTATTTTCATGCTACTGTAAAAGTTCCAGAATACCCAAAAAATGGAAAACACTACATAAAAGTGGGATAGAAGGATGAAAATTGTGAAAATGAGTGTACAAAAACACTGACAAGAAAACTCAAATATTTTTTTTTTATTCTCTCTCTGATATTTAAAATCTGAAATTCTTTTAAGGATATCAATGAATTTCTTAATATCCGATCATTCTTCGTTGTTAGAATGCAAATGTATTCTTGAATGTTTTCAGTATTTACAACAACTAATTCTTCAAGCTGCAGAACTATGAATATGACATTAATACATCTGCATTTGTCAAAGGTTTCAACATATCTGATTTCTGATAGTCTTTCATGTTAATCGGCCATCAAATCTTTCGTGCATTTTGTAGTTAGCAATTTCTATTTTGCAGGAAAACCCAAATTTTTATTGGTTATCTTTCGTAACAAGACGCTCTCACCGTTCAGAAGTGGTCTCCCGACGAACGCAGTATTATGAGCGCATATGGCACAGTTCCAATACCTCCGCCACCTCGGTGGTTGTCTGAGGTGCCTCGACGGTACTGCAAGTAGGCTAAGGGATGATCCGGATCCATACACTTGGTGGCTGAAGGTGAAGGCCTTGTTCAAAGATAAACAATTAAAATAAGGGGCTCTTTCACGGTGCAAAACAAGTGGAAAAATATGTAAAATGTTGTAGACTTTAAGACTTTAAGCAAGAAATAGGAATTGTGGTCAGCTTCAAGAAGACATTGAAGAATCACGAAAAAAAAAAAGTACTTAAATGATGATAGCAGAGAGACTGGAATTGCCGATGCCATTGATCAACGCAATAATTAAACGCTAGAACGTAAAAGAGAAAATGAATTAAGAAATTGCTGTTTTTTAATACACATGAAGATATATTTGTAAAAAGCATAATGGAAAAGAAAAAAAAATGAAGCATATTGTATTCTAGCTATTTTTCATGCTACTGTAAAAGTTCCAGAATACCCAAACAAATGGAAAACACTACATAAAAGTGGGATAGAAGGATGAAAATTGTGAAAATGAGTGTGTACAAAAACACTGACAAGAAAACTCAAATATTTTTTTTGATTCTCTCTGATATTTAAAATCTGAAATTCTTTTAAGTATATCAATGAATTTCTAATATCCGATCATTCTTCGTTGTTAGAATGCAAATGTATTCCTTGACTGTTTTCAGGGATTTTACAACAACTAATTCTTTTCAAGCTGCAGAACTATGAATATGACATTAATACATCTGCATTTGTCAAGGTTTCCAACATATCTGATTTCTGATAGCCTCCTAGCGTGCCAATCGGCCATCAAATCTTGCATTTTTGTTAGCAATTTCTATTTTGCAGGAAAACCCAAATTTTTTAGTGGTTATCTTTCTTAAACAAGACGCTCTCACCGTTCGGTAAAGTGGTCTCCCGACGAACGCAGTATTATGAGCGCATATGGCACAGTTCCAATACCTCCGCCACCTCGGTGGCTGGACTGAGGTGCCTCGACGGTACTGCAAGTAGGCTAAGGATGACTCTCGGATCCATGCACTTGGTGGCTGGCCTTGACGGCCTTGTTCAACGATAAACAATTAAAATAAGTGTTTTTTTTTTTTTTTTTTCAGGGTACAAAACAAATAGAAAAAAATATGTAAATGTAGTAGACTTGAAGCATAGAATTCGAAATGTTCAAGAAGGCATCGACGGCATCATTATCGATACGATAAAATAAATATGAATATTGACATGGCAGAAACAGGAATTGTGATCTCTCATTAATCAACGCATTAATTCTAATCCCAGATCATAAAAAAAATGCGAATTAAAAAACTGCAGTTTTTAATACACATGAAATATGCTGTAGAGCAAAATGGAAAAAAAAAGAAAATAAATGAAACATTGCGAATTGAAGAGATATTATTGCGATTGAAAAATTCCAGAATATATGAAAATGGAAAAAGAAACTATAAAAGAAGTGGATATAGAGGAGGGAGAAATTTTGAATAGAACATAAAAAATTATCTCTGCAATCAAATTCAACAATTTATACCTCAAAACCCTGACAAGTTGTAAATAGATTTTCTAAATCAAAGAAATGAAGAAAAAATTATCTTATGCTAAAGAATTTCATATAAACCTATGATTTTCGGAAAATAAAAAGACTTTTAAATGAAGACATTCTATGGTATTTTTAACTACTATTTTTTAACGCTATAATTATGATAAGTGTTAAAAATGTGAAACATTTCATATTTTCAGCTAAAACATTTGGAATAAAATATAATTTAAATGCAAAAAGTTGTATAATTATAAATTTTAGAATTAAATTTTTATGCCTTTTAAATATTAAATAACAAATAATTGTCATACTTTTACATGATTAACGAAATTGTAATTTACATTGATTGTAAAACAATTATGAAATCTTTTTTGTCGTTCTTTTCAGACTGAAAATACGTTAACCATCATTTAATTTGGTTTTTGCTTTTCATTGCCTTATATTTTACAAAGTGCTGGGGAAAACTATAATTTAATTTAAAATCAAATAAATACCATAGTTTAAATTCCCGATCTGAATTCTAAACAAATTGTCTTAGGGTTAAATAATTTTAACAATGTTTAGGTTTGTTTGCATTTAGATTTATTACTTTTACTTATTACTTTTATTTACTAATTTTACTTATTACTTTTTTACTTACTAATTTTACTTATTACTATCTTTACCACTTAATCTACTACTTATTATTTACTTACTAATTTTTCTCGTTTTGTTTTCACCTTTCCAATGCCCGACGAGAATTCTGTTTATCTTAAAGACCCT